GCCAGGACATCTCGCAGGAACCCATGATCAAAGCTTGGAAAGGCCGCCCCGAAGTCCAGGAAGACGGCCATCGGGTGATCCTCCGACGCCGCCTGGAGGAGCATGTCTTCCTCTACACCAATCACGTTGGAAGACGTCGACCGGTTGCGGAGAAAACCCCTCTGCTCCATGCTGATGCCTGGTTCGACCACGGGTTCGATGTGGAGCCGGGCCGCGTTGCAGATAATGCGATTGTCGGTGTTGGCGATGCTGAGGGGGCGGAAGTTCCCCAGGGGGAAGAGCCCCGTCCCGTCAGGCCGCGTGGAGGTGGGCTTCTTCGGCAGGAGGACCATGATGCTCTCGTTAAACGCCTCCAAGTCCTGGTTCATACGGGCAAGCCCGCCCTCGGTCGTGAGCTCCGCAAAGGCGTCGTGGAAGATATCAGCAGCCAGACTTGAGATCCGCCGCCAGGCCTTGAAGGGGATCCCGCCCCGGCCGGGCATGCCGTTGCCGGATTCCTTGATCGCTTAGAAAGCCGTCACGAGGCACGTGGAAGACATGCGCGAACAGAATCTGGGAGGTTCGCCGCGCCCTCGGCCAGCCAGCGACGCCTAGTGGCCAAATCCATGGGTTTGGCGGCAAATACTTGCGCCCAGCGTCGCCGGAGTTCAACAGGCATCTCCTGGGGGTCCGTCGTACTGCCGCCCGACGGTAAGTCCATGCCAAACTGCTGGCAGCTGCGGCCCGGCGCTAGCTTGCACGCCAGCCGCTGATTTCGTTGACGACGGCGGGCAGCTTGCTCCTGAGACAAGGTGTGCAGGTCCGCGTGCAAGCCGTGCAGCTCCTGCATCGTAAAGTCCATACGTAGCTCCCTGGCGTGCTGACGGGCACGGGCAAGCCGAGCTCCTGGGGGAGAATCAAAGTCGCAAGGGTTCGTGACGAGGTCGTGCAGCAGCGGGTAGCGGACCAAGCACCTGGAGACCCGCTCCGGGCTCTGGGCCTCTGAGGCAACTGCATCACAATGCCGAGCCTGTCCTCCAAATTCTCCGGTGTCGGGGCTTCCGCCGCCCGAAGGAGGAGGGCATTCTCCGCGAGGCGCATGGCGTGCTTGATCAAGAGCAGGCGCGACAGGCCCGAGGAGCGCGGTTGGGCATGAACCAGTTCTTGACGAGCGAACTTGACGAGCGAAGTCCGGATGCTCGAGCGTCGAATTCCCCGGCGCGGGAGGACGGTCGGAGCGGGGAGGTGCAATAGTTTTCCGGGAACTAGGAGGCCGATGTCGGGAAAGTTCCGGGCGCCACGGCATAGCCGTGCAGAAATGCGAGCGGTCTAAGTACTCGGTGTCGTACTGGTTGCAATATAGGCGATCGAGCCGTCCCCGCGATTCGGGGCTCGCGTAGGTAGGATCCGGCTGATGAAGGTCGTGCAGACCGAAGGGCGCCTCCAACAGAGTATGCCAGCTGGTCGCATCACGTCGATCCCGGCACTCCGTAGCCGTGGCCGCTGCCGCCCCCATCCGCTCGTTAGGCCGCACTACGAAGTTGAAGTCCCCCCGATGAACGACAAAGCCCGGTCGCGCGGGCGGATCTGACGGGCAAGGCGACGACGAAGGGCTTCGCGCAGCTCGAAATTAGAGGGCGTCCGGCCGTTGGGGTCGAAGCCAGCCTCCGAAACGTCCTCCAGAGGAGTGCTCCCGCCCGTGTGGAAGTAGGCAGTGTGCAGATCAAGGGCGCCCTCAGGTCCTCCCAGGTGGAGCACTGCTAGCCGGCCTGGAAAGATGACGCGAAACCGCGCGCGGCTAGTGAACTTGGCCAGGAAGGTCTTCTTCACGGTGATGCCGACGCCTGACGTCCCCGTGGTCGGACCGGGAGACCACCAGGAGGTGCACTCCGGAGGTTCGCGCCAAAGCTGCCCGCGCCCTTCCGTCCCGTGAGACTCCGACCAAATGCCCACGTCATGCGAAGTCATGAGCTGGTGGACCTTGCGGGCCTTATTCCGATGGCGAACCGCGTCCACCGCGAAGAGCGCTCGGGCGTTCCACTCGACAATTGCCAGAGATCCTTGATATTGCCCCAAAGGGGCAGCCCGAGGCGGAGGGCGAGCCGACGAAGCAGGTGAGCGCCCAGAGGCCCCAGAGGGAGACTGATCCATGGTAGCTGCAGTGGTCGGTGGTGGCAAAGATGAAGGCGACGCATTCGGACGACGGCAACTGTGCGAAGTAGAGCCCGGAGGAACAGGAGATAACAGAGGCGAGCCAAGCGCCTGCCAAAGAGCACGTCGGGCTAGTAGCTGGACCGGTACATCGCGAAGAAGCTGAAGATCTGCTGCAACGTGTTCGGGGTGTGGAAACGCGGGCAATGGCAGCGGGGACAGTGGTGGTCGCAGACGTGGAAGTGGAAAGGTGAATGGGAGAGACGTGGAGGAGGCACCAAAGCGCGAGGAACTCCAAGTCGACGTCGTGAGGAAGCGGCCCTGGTGGGAGGTGCCCAGCACCTCGAGGGAGGAGCGGGGCACAAACACGAGGTCCACGAACCACACAGAGAAGCCAGCCAACTCCCAGCTTTGAACTCCAATGCACGCGCGGCCCTCGGTGCTCGCGGGCGCCCGGGAGCCGGGCGAAGCGCCCGCGCCCCGTTTCCCGACAATGGGCTGGCGTCGATGGCGTCGTTCGTGACCGTGATAGAGAGAGCCAGTCCGGGCCGACCTGGATGAGCTGCCCGTGGAGAGCATCGTAGGCTTGACGGACCTCAACTTGGCTGGCCAGGTAGGCGCGGACAACGCCCGGCTGCGCCAGCTCCTCGAAGGAGGCGAGGTGCCGCCAAAAGCCCGAGGCCTCCTTCTCCGCGCCTACGGAGGCCCGGAGCTTTAAGCCCGTCTGCTGCACGAGGTGTTGCATGATGTGGTCCAGGATGGCGCGGTCCTGCGCCCCGGGGTCGCCCAAGAGGCGGACCTCCACGGCGTAGTCCGAGATCTGATCCGGCCGGTTGGCCCGACCCCGCCGGCGGCGGGAGGCCGCGAGCGCCTGAATAGACGCCGTCGGGTGGGCATAGGGCCGGCCCCCGAACCGGCAGGCCTTCCATCGAAGCTTGGTGACCAAGTTCATGTCGCCCTCGCGGCACAGCGTGTCCATCAGCGTGATCCAGGTGTCAGCCGTCGCATCGGTGCGGACCAGCATCGCCGTGGGCGAGAGGAGGCGAGCCTCCGCGCAGAGGGGCGCGACCTTCGGAAGGATAGCCGGAGAGGTAAATTCCAAGATCAGGGCATCGTCGGCCGTGTAGAGGTCACGCTGTCCAATGAGCATCTCTGGGGCCAAGGAAGTCCGGCGAAGCCGACGAATAATGAGCTCACGTCCCAAGGCCGAGATGCCCGTCGGCAGGGAGAGGTCGAGTGCCACCCTTGGAAGATCATCCGTGGAACCCTCGCTCCGACGCGGTTCACGAAGTGCTCCGCCACGAAACTCCGTCAAAGAGGGCAGGCGGGCCATCAAGGCCGGCAGCAGGGCCGATGGCGTGTCGATCGTGAGGCTTTCCGAGGCGGCGGTCTGCAGCAATTCCGTCCGAGGAAGGACGATCGGTGGCGGGCGACGCATGCCCGTCTTGGCAACATGGAAGCAAACGAGGCCCTGGCGCACCTATCGAGGACCATGGCGGCCGGGGAGCACCAACTCGACCGGCTGCGGTAGGAGATGGATGGCGCGGACCAGCGCTGCGTGCTTTTCCCCTGCCAAGGGGTGCGGCCATAAGTCGAAGTACTGCGCTGGCGTGGATACCCCCGGAAAAGCCGGGATCGGCACCAGGAAGCATATCTCGGAAGGTGCCTCGGTCGGGGCCGCGCGCATGTAGTGTCCCATAAGGCGGCTGAGGGACCCGTAGTCCTTCGGCGCCCAAGCGATCAGCTGGCATCCGCGAAGTTCTTGAAGGCAACGACCATCTCCCTTCTCGAGGCGTTCCGCAATAGCGCGCTGGCATGCCACCGTGTCGTGATGATCGGCTAGTGGGTGGAGCAATTGTGACCACTGAGTGACTAATCCGCCGACCCCTTGTGGGTCTCTAGGCGTGTGAGATAGTTCCCCCCCCTCACCCCCCCCCCCCAGGGGCCCCAAACCGGCGATTTGACCCCCCCCCCCCGGGCCGCAGACGAGCGCACCACGGGGCTCTTTGGTGCCCACAAGGGGATCAAAACGAGCCACGAAGGCCCCGAGAGGCCCCAAGACGGCCCCAAGAGGACCTGAAGACGGGCCAAGGAAGCCTTAAGGAGCCTCGAAGACGGCTCACGAGGGTCCCGAGACGCCAAACGAACGCCCCAAGACGCCCAAGATGCGCCCCAGACGGCCCAAGAGGCCGCCAAGACGCCACAAGAGGCCTCCAAAAGCCTCCCAAAAGGCCGCCGAGAGGCCAAAATCATTCATTTTCCCTTGGTTTTCAAAGGATTTTTGCCTTCTCGCCCTTTCGGTACTCCGACGCTCCACGACGGCCCAAGAGGCCCCCAATACCGCCCCAAGACGGCCCAAGAAGCCCCCAGGACGGCCCCAAGACGGCCCAAGAGGCCCCGAAGACGGCCCAAGAGCCGCCGAAGACGGCCCAAGAGGTTCCCAATACGGGCCCCAGAGGTGCCCAAGAGGGGGACCGCGAAGTGAGAATTCGAGTCTTCCGCTTCAGGAGGCCTTCAGGAGGCCCCAAGAGGCCCCAAAGAGGCACCAAAGGGCCCCCAAGAGCCCCCTACGACGCCCCAGGAGGCCCCCGGGCGGCCCAAATGAGGCCCCAAGATGCCCCCAAACGGCCCCAAAAGCCCCCAAAACTGCCTCACAGAAGCCCCCGAAAGGCCAACCGCGAGATCGCAACCAACATCCACGAGGCCTTATACCCACAACGCAGGCACGGTGGCGGGATGTGCCGAAGGCCAGTAGGATATATTTTTTGACCGCGCAACGGCCCCACGTACACGAAGGCCTCCTGCAGTCCAATTGGCTGCGCCCCTGAGTGGACGCCCTCAAAATCCCAACTCACAGCCAGAGGAGAAGGATGTATAAGGTGATGGCCAGGGCCACATACCCGTGCGACAACAAAGCAAACAAAACAGGAAGAGGACAGGAATGCGGAGCAGAGAGAGCGACGAAGCAAGGAAGGCCGAAGGGCCAGGTAGACAGGCAGCAGCTGTTTGGGGAACCTCACCCTGGACTGACTAGGCGGGGATGTATCAAATATAATGGCACTGTGCGGGCAGCACAGCCTGAACCACTCTCGCTCGAGGAGTTGGACAGCAGATTGGCGTCCACGCAACTGAACTTCAAAAACAAGAAGACGATCATGCGCCACTCGATAGCATTTCAAAAAGAGGAGGGGGAGGAGGGCCGCCCCCGAAAGGAGGACAGGAAAGAGAGAAAGAGAGAGAGAGAGAGAGAGAGAGAGAGAGAGAGAGAGAGAGAGAGAGGGCGAGACCCAGACCTCCAGAAAAGGTCGAGGAAGAAAAAAGGGGAGGGGGAAGAATGGCAGGAGAAGGGGAAGGAGGAAAAGGACGAGAAGCAAGACGGGGAGGAGGATGACGAGGACGAGGAGGAGGAAAAACCGGAGGAGAAGAAGGAGGGGGGGAGGAGGAAAAGTGCGGGAGGAAACCGCGGCTCCGACCCCGCCAGCGGCGCGCGGCCGCAGCCCCAGAGGAAAGGGGGAAGCCAGGGCTCGCGCCGAACAACGCTGTCTGTCCTCCTCTCCCTGGCCAGCTCTCGCTTTTGCTCTGCTCCGTTCGTTTTCCCACATCCCCCCTCCCCTTTATCCCCCTCCCCTTCCATCCTCCTCCTCCTTTTCCTCCCCCTCCCCCTCCCCCTCCCCCCCCTCCTCCCCCTCCCTCCTCCGCCACCCCCCGGCCGCAGCCTGTCACAGATGATTTTCCCCCTGGGCGCGTGCCCCCGACGGCGTTCCAATCGGGCCCCAAGAGACCCCCCCCCCCCAGACGGCCCAAACGAGTTCCGACTCACCGAACGACGCATTGGGCATCATGTGCAAGTCTTGCATTTCAGGGTGCCCTTTTTGGCATCGCGCGCGACATGGGCTGGGTTCACGGCGAACGCCGACTTCGGTAGTCTTCTCTTGCACGCGCCACTGCACTGATACGCCTGGCAACTGCGCGCTGTGAACCCGAGTTCCTTGCAACCTCCGCACACCACTTTCGCTCCTTTCGCAGCTCGATGTTCTTTTACTTGGTTGTGCTTCAAATGCGTCGTGTTCGAGAACGCTCCTCCGCACGCCGCGCACGTCAGCGGCTTCGCGTCCGCCTCCGCTTTCCGTTTGCGATTCCCTGCCTCGCAATTCGTCCGCGCAACCGTCTTCTCCCGCTCCTCCGCGCATTTCCGACAGAGCCTCTCCCCCGCAGCATTGTGCTTCTTCTGTGCATTCGACATTTCCGCCTGCTCTTCAAACAGTTTCAGACACGTCTTGCTCGAACATCGCACTGTTCCGACGCTCTCGTTCCACTTCGCGTTGCCTTTCCGCGACTTCTGCTTGGCTTTGACATGGCTGCACTTCGCGCAGTACATTGTCCTAACCGTTTTCGCGTGCCCGTCGTCGGTAGCAGCGTCCGCGTTCCGACCGCTACCATGGCGCGCGGCGTCATCACCCTCTGCTTTCGATGCCCACCCTCCGCACGTTGTGCACCATTTTTCGCCGCCGCTTTTCATTTCATCCGTACACTCTTTACAGAACGCCGGCCTGTCCTTTCTCTGGAATTCATACTTCGTGAACGCCTCTACCAACAACCTACGCCGGCAGCGCTCGCACTGGTCCCGTGGCATTAGTTCCGCTTCCCACCCATCCCAGTCCACTTTATCCCCGCGAAGCACCTGCAACAATTTCTGCGTGCCTGGCATCTCCCCCGCGTTGTACGGCCTCCTATCGAAAGGCCTGAAAATCAACAGGTTCTCCCGCCTGCGCACGCGCGTGATGGCAACGTAACTTGACATCCAACTCACGCCGCGCCCTGTCTCCAGGTCCGCTATCACTGCGGCCATGGTCCGGCCCTGCGCAGAGTGCGCTGTTACTGCCAAAGCCGGAGTGATCATGAACTGCGTGCGCTTCACACTTAATACTGGATGCTTCCGGTATCCGCCCAAGAACCATTGCCGGCCTTTCGAAGGGAAGATCGGATACAGCCCCGGCTCCCACCCTGGCAGGTGCCACTCTTTCGTATCGAAGTCCAACACAATCACTCTCGGCAGATGCCTCAATACTTCTTCGTCTTCATCTCCAACGACGTCATCCTCGTGCAACACCCATCCGTGGATCGTCGCTGCGCGGCCCCGCAGAAGCTGCTTCTTTGACCGATCCAAGTGATCACCCAAAGCCACGGGCATCCCCTTGGCCAACGGCAGCCAGCCGGGCAAGCTTGCGCACTCCTTCTCGTGGTACCCCAGCCAACGTATCTTATCCTCCACCGTGTACGGCCGCCTCTGTTCCCCCTCATGGCAAGGGCGGTCCCTGGCTGCGACCCACAGCAGCTGTTCTCCTCGCTCCTTCGCCCACTGCACAGCTCTCTGCTTCCCGACGTGGCAACGAATGTCCTGATTCGCATAGATGGCGACAGCTTCAAGAAATTTCACTTCCCGAAAGCGCGGGTCGTCTGGCGACGTCGCCACGAGCTTTCTCTTCTCCCGCTCAACTTTGCAAGCGTCACATTCGAGCTCGTTCTGCTTCGCAATTGCCTCTATGTTCTGGAGACAACGCGTGTTTCCGCACAGCGGTGCACCGTTCACCCACGACCCCGGCACATCCGTCGGTGCGCCATGCAAAAAATTATGCGTCCGTTCCGACAACGCCCCTCGGCGGAACTCGTCCTGCACTGCGAGAAACCAGTCGTCTCGATCCTCCGCGCGCTTGCACTCCGTCAACTCCGTCATTCCCTGCACTGCGCCTTCGCCACCCGCCCCCCAAAAGATATACTGTCCGTGGTCCTCCGTGGCACCCGGCGCGTATTTCCTTGCGTTTTTCAAGTACGACGTCGGAAGCGCATTAATGGCTGTCCCTGATGGCGGCTCCAATTGATAGAAATCCCCGCAAAAGAGCACGTTCACGCCCCCGAAGGGCCTGTCCACGCCGTCTGCATCTACTTTCGTGTCTGTCGCAGCTGACATGCACGACCGCAAGTGTGAGTCAAGCTCGGCAATGAAGTTCGCGCTGACCATGCTCACCTCGTCCACAATCAGCCACTTCCACTGTGACATACGCTGCGCCGCTTGCTCTTTCTTCGTTTTCTTCTTCGTCTCTGCGGTAGCATCGCGCGCCGCGTCCCTTTTCTCCTTCGTTTTGTTTACACCAAGGCCAAAGGCACTGTGGATCGTATTGCCGTCAAGAGCTGACGCGTTTGTAGCCTGCAACGCTGCCACCTGGAAATCTATGCCGTGCGTCCACCCCAGCTCCTTTTCGAACAGCCCCTTCCGGATCTTGTCAATGACGAAACTTTTCCCAGTCCCCGGGCCACCATGCAACATCCACACGAGGGGGTGCATATCAGAACGGCTCTGCCCTGCTTTCTTTCCGCTCGCAGAACTCCCAAATTCTTGCGCCAACACTCGATCTGCCACCTTCTCAACGACGCTACGCTGTCCCGCGTTCAACCCGCTATCCGCGAGCTCTTTTCTCCACTTCCGCACACTTGACGCCGTTGCTTTCTTGGCCGCCACCACCTCTGGAGCACCTTCCTGTCCACCCGCGCCGCCGCCTTCTGCGGCCCTCGACGCCGCCGCCATCGCTTGCGCTGTCTGCACTGCCGCGTCATCCCACCACAACGCACCGCCCCCTCCGCGCTTCTGCCGCTTTCCATTCTTTCGACTAGGCCTCTCGGCCCACACGGCGTCGCCTCTGGCCATGGCCTCCCGGCTTTTCTCCTTTTCGCACTCCGCCTGTACATTTGTCCGCCTGTCCTCTTTCTCCATGGACGTGCCTCCGACGTGCGTCTTCCGCCTGGTCGCCGCGTCGACAATTCTCGGATCCAGTTCTTCATCGCTGTACAGCTCGTCCTCGTGCTTGACAAGATCTTCGTCCGTGACTGGTCGCAAATCCACCACGCTCATGTAATGTTGCACATACCTCTTTGTTTCTTCACATGGCATGCCTTTCCTTAACCACTCGAAAGATGCCTCCGCCCACGACCCCTGCGCTCCACGGAACTCCCGCAGGTGCGGCACTCCACAGTCGACATCGTCGCGAAGTGTGAAGGCCCGGAAATATACCATCAACAAGAGCCCGTTCCTATCCTCCTGCCCCGCTCCGTGCTTCGGCTGCGGCGCTCCATGGAAACTCGGGTTCCTCGGGCGCTCGTTCCGCACCAGCACCCACGTGTGCCTGGCAGTTTCCAGCTCAGGAATATCTGGAAACGGGACCCACGAATAACTGCCCAAACCTTCCTTGATCACATAATCCACTCCGGCTTTCAACTGGGCTCCCGCCTGCGCCCCGCTTTCGTCGGTCTCCGCTCTCTCCTGGTCTGCTCTGCGAACCTTCTGAATCCCCGACTGCGTCAGCTCCGCCTGGTACTCATTGCTGGCAGCTGCTGCCAGCTCTGCTCCGCTTCGGGGAAATGCTGCCAATTCGATGCGCCAATATCGCAAAAACTCATACAATGACAAGTGTGCCAAGTCGGGCGCGCCAGGAGCGTCCACTGGCCGCATGCCATACAAGTACACTGGACTCTTCGATACAATTCGAACCTTTTTCAACCCTTCGCGTTTGTCCGCTTCCAGAAACCCCGACGCCGCTACGGTGACACCGTCCCCGTCTGCACACAGCCGTTCCGCCATGCGCACGGCTTCTGCACCGGGGATCATGGCTGTTTTCGCAGTCTTGATACTCTCAGCAGCAGTCACGTCTCTGGGGTCTCGGTACGCTCGCAGATTCGCACTTTCCTGCGCTGACCGCACCACGCCTCTCCCGTACATGTCACTAAGAAATCTCTTCATGTGCCTGTTCGCTCGGTACGCCGCGGTCCTGTCCTTCGTCTGCTCCGCCAGCGCGTGGTGGCCCTTTTTGATCTCCCTGACCTCGTTGAACGACGGGGCACACCGCTTGCACTGATAGTCCGCCGCATACCCCGCTGCTGCATTCTGTGCTCGCTGCGCTGCCAGCACCATGTCTAGGGGTCGGTCCGTCTCCCAGCACCGCTCTTCGCACACACAGCTATCGTGCGTCGCTTCCGTCACTGGGAACCTGTACGGGATCTGCAAGTCGCTGTTAAAATTCAATCCTACCGCGCCGCTGAGCATCGCTGGCAGCGTGCCGTTTAGGTTCTCTTCGTTCATGGGCCCGTGCAGGCACCCTGTCATGTTCCTCCTCCCTGCTCGCGGCATCTCACGGTTTCAAAAAGCCTTGGCACAACACCACTGCGCGATCCACGAGCCACGTCGTCCGCGGAAAAAAGCTTTTGCACTGCGTCATGTCGTCTTTCCTCTGGCAATGTGCCAACGGTACCACGCGCTGCAAACGCTTACACCATTGGTGCACGTGGTTCTGTCGAAACTCCTGCCCCTTTTGCACCCAGACGCCAAGGTACTCTTCGAGC